TGCACTTTGTGTACACACATAGAGATTTGTTGTGGAGTGAACAATGCGGCTTTCTCATTGAAATCACGCCTGAAAGTAAAAAGTTGGAAAGTAATAGTGACAATAGTTATTTGCTTGTTATAGGGTTCCTACTTGATTTCAGAAAAGATTTGATAAATGTTACCAACTAGTAATAATAAAGAGCCAATAGCAACAACTTAGAACTGGGGAGTGTTAGAGAAGAACATTACACTCCTGACAAATGGAATGTGGGAATGTACACACAGTCTGCAAGACTAAGAGTGATCAGAAATAAGCAAAATTTATTATTTTATTTCTAAATTTAATGCAAGTTATCTCATTGTACAGACCCTTACTGCAAAGGTCAATAATGTAATAAAACAATATTTAAATAATAGTTTCTCGTATTTAGAGACAGATATTTGGGATGCTTGTGGCCAACTCTAATTATTTTTTCACAAACACAAAATTATGAATCCTTTTATACATTCAGACACATGCTTGAGAAAACTGATCAAGTTTTGAAAGTTAGAGTGTAACCTTAAGCCTAGAAAAAAATGTTAAAATATATATTGAAACATAAGATAATGTTGTAAAACTTTGTTCAGTTTTAGTAAGCACTGATAATGGGCAGACCAACCCATAAGCTACAAAATTACTTTGCAAGGTCATACATTAATTAAAACGTTAGACTTAAAGAAGTCTATGTAATTGAAAATTGGAATACACTTGCCTTGAAGTCATGAATTGAGCTTTTCCATAGTATTTAGTTTTTTCAACAAGCTATTTCCTCGCTACCTGCTTTGAATTTCCTTGTTGTGATAAAACACTGAGCGAAAACAACTTGGGGAGGAAAGTGTTTATTTCATCCTACAGCTAACAGTCCATCATCAAGAAAAGCAGAGGCAGGAACCTGGAAGCAGGGACAAATTAAAGCAGAAAACATGGATGAATGCTGCTTACTGGCTTGCTTCACTTCCACTTTCTTTCTTACACAGTGCATATCCACATGACCTGGGGTAGCACTGCTCGTGGTAAACTTGACCCTCTTACATCAACTAGCAATCAAGATGTCCCGCAAACATGCCCACAGGTCAGTTTTATGGAGCCCATTCCTCAACCGAAGTCCCATCTTTCCAACTGTGTCAAGTTAACAATCAAGGCTAACTATCACAAGTCCAGCTCTTGGCAGCTTGAAACACAGTGTGATCCCAAAACTTCTGTTAGAATTTAAGTAAAACGCATCATCCTACTTTAATAATCAGTTGTGAATATTAATAAGCATGATCAAATGGTGTCTCCTTTGATGCAAGAAGCCTTTTCCTTCAAAGCAGCAACACCCTTTTTCCATCATATTTTCTGTCACACAATGAAAGCTGACATTTAATAGACAGACTACATACACTTCAGACTTAGGAAGAGATGTCTGAGTACCCTGCAACTTCTCATGCAGTCGGGTAATGCTTTCTAGGCAAGGATTTTGATTTATGTGGTATTAAGTGAATTTGTGTGCTTCGGTAACTCTTCTTCCAAAATTGGTTTTTTATTAATTTTTAAAAGATCCAAAATTTTAGAGCATTAAACACTCAAAAATTTCTACTGTAAATGTTTAGTTTCTTAAAAGCAAATGATATGAGTCTTTGAGTGGATGACCACTGAGAAACATGCTGTCTGTTCAGAATTTAGTCTGGTAGTTAAAGGTGAGGGGTTTGTTCACTGGGAAATTTGTTCTAGAGAGTCCTGGAGTGAGAAACGAGGCACAGGCAGATGTATCTGAGCGTAGAGAGTAATTAACATACTGTTGTATTGCTTTGACTATCAAGAGCTCCCAGATGTACTGAAACGATTGATTATTTTTTGTTTGGAGGGTTTTTGTGGCTTTTATTTATTTTTGGACTTTATTTTGTTCTGTTTTAAAGAGCAAAAGTGTATAGTGTTTCCACAGAGAACCCAAGTTTGTTTCTCAGCACCCAGACTGCAGCTCCCAACAACATGTGACCCAGTTCTCAGGTATCTGATGCCCTCTTCTGGACTCTGTAGGTGCTGGACTTATCTATACACACCCATTACAAAGACAAATGCCTAACCACAGATCAATGTCCTTTTGTTTCTGGATTAAACTTCATTCCTAGGAAATGAATAAAACCTTAGCTCCCAGAGTTGAGCGTACACTACAGACTTAAGCCTTTCTCAGATCCTCTTACACACGCTGGTGTATTAGGTTATGAGAAAACAGTTGCTGGTCTATGTATCATCATATCGCCCTGAAAGGAAATGCCCATTGGACTAGGAAGGAGCTCTGAGAAGGCTCAAGATGTGCACACTTGTGAACTAGCACATCCTGCTGCACCTATCAAACCAAAACTAGTCATTAAAAAATCGGGCATTTTCAATGGAGTTCAGTTGTATGATTTATTTGAATAGTACTCTTCAACCCAGAAGGTCAAAGTCTTAGAGAAACCTAGAGATGGAAATTAAATATAGTATAGTATCTTAACTAGAACCCAGAAACAGACAAACAAATACTGGTCACTACACTATATATTCTAGCTAATAGTATATTGACATTATTGTTTTTTATTATTAATTATAATATGTTATATTATTAAAAGATGTTCAGAATTTGAAAACTTGTAAAAATGAATTGTGGAAACTCTATATACCCATTCGGTTTCTCTACAGAACTGAAAGACCATAGGACACAAAGCCTATTTGTTCTTCAAAACAATACATGAAAAAATCCCAGACTTCTTCATGTAAGCTTTTCCTGTATTCACTATTCTGTGTGCTCACACGTGCACATGTGTGCGTGCGCATGCACACACACACAAATTAGGAATAGTAAGACATTGAGCCACACAGAGATTTAGATACTATGGAAGGCAGTTCTGTATCCAGAACGTGGCTATTTGAATCTGGATAATTCACTTCATTTCTAAGATGTATGAAGATACCATAACAATTTAAAAAGCACTGTGTTTAGGTTCTTATATCAGGTAGTTTGATATTTGACTAGTACACAGTGCAGGATGGGAGAGGTAGAATGTTGCTGGATCACTATATAAAATGGACATATTTAGTTTATCATACATACACTCAGGGAAGTTGGTCCTGAGAATATGTTTTTCCCATCAGGGTCCGTTTCTGGGATGTTTGTCATACTGCTCAGGATATTTATGAGTCCTTAGTAACAGCTCAGGACATATTTGCAAGTAACTCTAACATGTACTTGACCAAGTTTCCAAGTTTCTGTTATTTCACTAGAAATTGCAGAAAAGCCACCTAAAATGATTACGTGTAATTATTGGTGATGCAATAAGTGGTGAGGTAATTATAACCAGAACAAACGTGACTACTAATGTTTTCTTTGCGTTGTTTGCTTTAATTTTGTAATCAGTAAAACTAAGAATTGTTGGGGAAAAACCCTTTGGTACACTAAGTTCTTTGCACATTGTATTCAGTATAGATACTCCTGGTTTGTTCATGAATCCTTCAATCCATGTTTTTAAATCCAAGCTCTGTATACGTTGCTTAAATATGAGTTTATGGATGATAAACAGAATCCTTTGGAAACAAATTTGGAGGTGATCTGGTGTTAGAATCAGTTAGATGAATGGACTTATTAACTTGTCTCATTTCTGGTTTTTGGTTTTTTGGGTTTTTTTTTGGTATGAGTCAAAAGCCAAGAACAGCAGGGCTAGCAAGATGGCTCAGCAGCTAAAAGTGCTTGTTAGCCAATGGAGCGAGCCTGATGACCTCACTCCAGTCCCCAGAACCCACATCAAGGTGGAAGGAGAGGTTCCACCGACCCCATAAAGTTGTCCTCTGGCGCATGTTTTCTCATATGCACACAAACAAATAATAAATAAATATAAATTCAGCAAACTATAAGTGTTTCTTAGAAATCTGGTAGGAAAGTTTGCTCCCATAATAGCTTAATTTATATGTGGGATCTATAAACAGCTGGGAGCAAGAAGTCGATTCTCCCTAACACTGTCTTTGTTTGCTTGGAAGTCTTCACTTTGGTTACTCTTTAAAAAAGAAAAGAAAAGAAAAACTCCTCGTTTCCATTAGAATCATTGCGTATGCTGTCATCCACTGTGTGGGGACAATAAGCCATCAATAAGACTACATCAAACTGAGGGGTGAATCATCCTGTCAGATTCATCTCTAAACTTAGCATCCGCATGTAAGAGAAGGTCATACCGGTACCTGCCATTCACGTAAGGTTAAGAAAATGCCTCCTCCACAGCGAATCCATCCTGTGCTGTAATTCACAGCTTCCTCACTCACGTCAATGCCCTAGCGTTTTCAGATCCTACTTGACTTAGTAGTAAAATGATGTCATTAAAGAAGACATAGTTTTAACCCTACTGTTTTAATTTTTTACCTGCAAGGTTTGTACTTGTAGAAAAATAGGAGACCCTCTCAAGTTATAGGTATTATGTTTGTTGGAAAATTTAGTATGTAAACTTCACTCATTACATTACAGTACTCAGAAAACTATCGAATTGGCTTGTCATAAATGAAATTTAAGTGCTGGCCATTTTCTCTTCCTGGTTCTCTTGAAAGTTGTGTTTTTAAAAAGTAGTTGAGTGTGGTCTGATAATCTAAATTTCCCCCAGCCATTTCTCTTCCTGCCTTTTTCTACTTAATTTTCTCACACTGTGAATTACCCCAGTGCACGATGTTTTGCCTAAAGGGTCAATATTTAGAATGAATGTCAGACATTGGATAACATGTGTCCTGAGACACGGTTATGCTTTTTGTGCTGTTTTATTTTGTTTAGAGAATATGTATGATTTCATGGAACATACCAGAAGTGCTCTGCAAAAACAATGAAAATGTAAAGGCTATTGTACTAATAATATCTATTTTTTTAAGCAAGTCTTTTAATTTGAAATTTTATTTGACCTCAAATTTCCCCTATTTTGCTACTGATGTTTTTAGATCAGGAAAATTGCCCCAAAGTGATAACTAACACACACTTTTGTCTTCAGGAGACAGTACAAAGCTCTGAAGGATGGCTGATGAGCGGAAGGACGATGGAAAGGCGCCACACTGGACGTCAACCTCACTGACAGAGGCAGCTGCACACCCTCACCCTCCAGAGATGAAAGATCAAGGCGGGGCTGGGGAAGGGCTGAGCCGCAGTGCCAATGGATTTCCATACAGAGAGGAGGAGGAGGGCGCCTTTGGGGAGCACGGGTCACAGGGCACCTATTCAGATACCAAAGAGAACGGGATCAACGGAGAGCTGACCTCGGCAGACAGAGAAACAGCAGGTAACTGAGGGGCCGCAAGGACTTCTTTATGCTTTGTAGTCGGGTTGTTCTGCAAGTGAATTAATTTGCAGCAGCTGGTCCTGTCACTTTTCAAGGACGAGAGTCCGATTAGGAGAAATCAATGCCCTCACAAGCTACGCACCAAGCACCATGGCAGTTAATATGACTTCCCCGACTTGGTTGTAGTCTTGATATTGTTTCTCAGCATAATTTTTGCTACCCTAATTTTTATAGGCAGAATACTCAGTGCATGGATATCTTGCTATGAACAGCCCGTATTTTAACCCATTGAGGAAAACCAATGTTTTCTTTTTATTAGCTTAAGTAACATTGGAACATAAGTTTAAGGGCTTGATTAGGGAGGTATATTTCTTCTTATTGTAGAAAGAATGGTGAAAAACACCCTATCAGCCCTTCAAATGAGAAGTATGGGAAGACAATGTTTAAAGGGGATTGATTTTACTTATGGAAAAATTTTCCAAATATCTCCTGAGATGCTAAATAAATTCACAGGGTTAAACCAAGATAGTATAAGTATTCTTTGAAGTCCAGGCTAATTTTGCCTGTCAAACACCACAGAAGCCATTAGCTTGGGGATGGTTCTGTTTCACCATTAGCACAGTCTGTCTCTCGCTTAAAGACTGTACGTCTTCTTCACTAAGGTGAATCCTCTGCAGTTGCTCTGATACAAAGCCTCTGGGAATCTCATGAAAACCCTGCAGAATCCCATGAGAATGGGAAAAGAGATTGGTTGTATTTCTTGACTGAACCAGGAAACTGAGAAGCCACCATGCCAGGCTAGCTATGTCTCTTAGATACTCAGAATACAACCCTTATAGACTACCATGGAACAACACAGTGCAATACAGAAAAAAATTACTGTATATAGTATACCTGTTCAATCCAAGGACAACTAGTATCATTTAATATCCTATTTATTCAGTGATCTTAATGAAGTATTTAACAGCACAGAAAAATCTTTTTGTCAGGTCAGTGTGTCCTTGCCAGCTTCCTTGAGAAGATAATAGATATAAATTAGATTCAACTCGCAAGTCTTTCTTTTGTGTGATGGTGTCAGGAACATTCAGTGTTTATTGTGCAATTTTCTCCACATGCATCAAATGAGTATTGTGTTATCCTAGAGAAACTGATTTCTAAGTATTCGTATATGTGCTCACAGTAACAGAGGCGGTACATTGTCATCTGTGGGTTGCCATAGTGATGTTTTCTGCCTAAACTATGGTGTGATTTTTAAACTCTTTTCTAAAAAATAACAGGCCAGTTACTGAGCCCTTAAGATGTGCCAGTGTGGAAAGCTATAGTGGGAGAATATAAAACTTGGTTTCCTCATACTTACAGAAATGCTCCAGTGATAAGTTAATAATAATCCGCTTCTTCCAAAACAAGTTTAATAAAATAATAGCTCTTGTCCTTTATGATTTACAGACAATTTCCTTAAAATATGTGTTGTAAATCATCACCTGTGTATGCAAATACTCCTAAATCTCAAATACGCCATTTTTAAAATGCTATGCCTGAGGGTGGTGACCTCATTGGAACTGGCATTATACTTGGAGGTGAGCATTTCAAGAAGGACCAAAGAGCTCATTCTTTTTTTATTCACCTCCATTGTAAAAGTATACCACATTTATCCCGTAAAATATAACCTTCAAAAACAAAACTGTTCACATAAAACACTCCTCAGGGGAAGAAGGTCCTCAGGTATGATTGTGGTGACCAGGAAATTCCTAGTTGACTCAAAAATGTTTCTTTTGCTTCCTTCTTGACTGTGGTTGTCTCTTCATTTTCAGAAGACTTTTACTTGAGTTTGTAACCTCTCTATAAACAGAATTGAGAATGGAAGCTCTGTCTCCCTAAGACTGGACCCCTCAGCCTTGTGCCCTACTTTCTCATGCACCGCTTGAATATTCTTTTTCATGTATAGGCTTTGACACTTTTTAAAGATGCACATCCATGGTCAACTTCTCTTTGTTCTTGTGCACTGTGACGAGTATTGGAAAGCAGGAAGCGTTAGAAGGCAATGATATTGTAATTGTATTTCTTTACACTTGCCTAGATGTTTCCTGCCATACAACATAAAGGGAGCCCATAGAAAGATGGGTGAAATTATTTTCTCAACTCCAATTTTAATGCTTTATTTCTCTGTCCTTTTTAAAGGACACACAGGAACATGTAAAACCATGTGAAGGTATTCAGAATCAAGCTGCCTAACCAAAGGGTAGTTTTTGTCTTTTAAAATTGTTTTCCAAAGCATAATTGAGAAGAAAAATGACTTGTAATAATCCCTTCCTTTCTTTTGCACTTTATTGAAGAAAGCACTTTATTGACCCCCATGGAGTTTTGAATCAGAATGACAATAAGACACATCATCCATAAGTTTCTTCAGCAGGAGCAAGGCTTAAAGTTTTATTAGAATTCATATTAAGATAGCATGAGGTAACTTGCAAAAAGACAGAAGGGTTGATTTGTACCTATAGAAATCTATAAATCTCTGTATCTAAAAATCTATAAAACTTTGATCAGAACATCGTTATAGGAAGTGGAAGTTTAAAGTACCTTTCAAGTGACATTTTAAGGATGTGGAGATGTGGTCAATAGTATGTTTGTGACTTGGCAATGTCGCTTCATTTGGTGTCCTGATATCTAAGGCATAGAATATTACCCTTACTGCATCTAATTATGAAATAATTTTAATACAATGTTTTCTGATTGAAAAGGCCAGATCTGCAAAGTATTGATTCTGCATTGCTCACCTTATTCTGAGCACTATTACCTGTCCAGAGATAGAAAAGTCTCTGGCTCTTTTTCATTCCTCAAGGGTTGCTTGAAAAACTGGAGTCTGCTCTCCTTGTCCTTATTGATATCCATGGGTAGAGCCAACTGGAAATTAAATAAACTTGAAAGAAATGGTGTTTGAAGAGGATAAGGATATTCCTGCTATTCATTGTCCCTTATGCAATGCAGTATATTCATTATTAACATAGAATTTATATACTGTATCCAGTAATATACACAGTCTAGAGATGACTTAAAACATATAGGAGGATTTTAGAGGCTTCAAGCAAACATGGCATTTTATGTAAGGACCTGAACAATGTGTTGATGTTACAGGGATCCTTCAGCCGTCAAGGATAATGGCGTACTTAGAACCACAGTTTGGAAACTTGTATAACATCACAGTTTCCACATGGCTCTCCAGTTTGTACACTATTTTAATCACATTATGCCATTTTGGGATGTCCACAGAGGTATCTGTCATTCATGTTTCCATTTCCAAATGAGAAAATTAGGGCACAGACTGTTTAAAAGAATTATTCAGAGATGCACATTTAGAAGATAAGGGTGTTGGATGGAGAACCCAAGGGCCAGGAACCCTGTGAGATTTGGCTTTATTCTGAGCAGTCCTTTCCCTAAGAAGACATGTAAATTTTGTGTAGACTTTATCATTTATTTACCTTCTAAGCAGGCTGCTGACTGTCAAGGCTTTCCAAACTTCTTTAGATTAGGGTTATTTTTCTTGGCTCTCAGAATTAATCTTGTAAATATTGGCACTTGTCCTTTGTTGGAAAACATTACTGGAACCTGGCCATTCCCTTGCCATCATTTTAAATAATACAATGGTTATTTGGAAGGAATCTAGAAGACGAGCCTTCACGTATCACCCTCCTCGAGTGTAGTCCACCCCTAAGAGCATTTGCTAGCAGGGTTCAGGCTTCTTGCCTTCTAGAAGACAGCTAGTCTACCGCCCCTTGCAATAGTCATCCTTGGCAGGCAACGTGTGCATTTCTCTTACATAACTCACAGGTACACTCCGGGTCCATGGCATAAAATCCTAAGTGTGATTCTCAATTTCCTCCTAAGTGGAGAAAGAAAGGAGGAAAAGAAGAAAAAGACTCTTATAGGTGTCAATATATGCAAGTGATCGAAAGCAGACTTTGGTAACTTCAACTGACCTCAGGCATGGTGTTGAATGCTAATGGGGACAAAACAAGTCATGGAATGAAGTGGTTCCCTACGATGCCCTTTTTTTCCCTGGCATGTCTGTATTTCTAGATCTGCCGCCTACCCAGGAGATAGCATAGCCTTCCCTACATTTTAACATCCTCATCACTCAAGCAACCCTATGACAGACAGACCCAGGCAATACATTTATTGTTGCAGAGATTACATATTGAAGCTGGAAAGTACATGATGGGGTGATGGGGGGCAAGGTTGGCATCACTCACATGAAAGCAGCAGGTAGCTCTAACCTTCTCTCTGTTCTCCCTTTGATATCTTAGAAAAGTGAAGCCTGCTTTTTGTTACCCTCATCCTCCCTGCCTCCATTTGTAAATTGAGATCCCCTTTAAAATACGATCTATGGCGTATACTATATTAATTATACAGAGCCAAATAGTGCACTGCCATTTCTCCAGCAAAATGACTAAAGCTATCCTCATCAGTCCCTGAGGCAAATAAACAAGCAGTTCTAACAATACAAAAGGCTGCAGATTTTCTTCTTGTTGTTGCCATGCCAACCACTCATTGCTCGGGCTGCCATTTCCCTGAGCTCCGCAGAGAGAGGCGTGTGCAGAGCAGTTACTTAGCATTCAAGGGTGGATCTGCAGAAAAACACACAGCCTTACTGCAAAGCGTCAGGCCTGGCAGCACCGGTGGATGAAACCAGAAAATGGAAACCTTTTCAGTGTTTTCCTCATGAAGGTTAGGCATTTGGGCTAGAAAGAATGAGAGAGAGATGGGTCTTTTTTTTTTTAATTAAGACAGTTCCACAAGGTTCATATATGTTATTTGCTTTGTCCGCTGTGGTCTCTAGCAGATGAAGTGGGTGTGGGTGTTCATTTCTGTCATACTATGTGGCTTGTTGTGCTGATGCCTACTGGGTCTGAGCCTATCGGGTCCAGCTTACGTGGACAGGGTCATAAAGAATGCTGACTCTTGCTCGGGGAAAGGATGGGCTTCTATATTCCAGGTAATCCCAG